TTTCATTATCGATAAATATAACAGTTTTACGTGTTTTCATTATCGATGATTCCTCTGTTTCTAAATTTATTGGTAGGAAGGATTCCAATTGCCCGTTGTTGAATATTTGTTATCGGATAACTTTGTTCTATGAGTATTGATTCGGCTAATCGTAAATTATAATGATTGTTATTGTAATGTAAGATTTCAACACTGTGGTACAAGATTTATCTAGTCAATTTAATTTTGTGTTTCTCTTTCGAAAATGGTATAGGAATACCAAAAAAAGCTTTTCTGTTCTATCATGCATAAAATAAACAAAAATTTTGGTTTTGAACTAAAGAAACTTGAAAATGATTTACGAAAATCGAAAAATTAAATTGGAAGTTAACTAACGCAAAACATGCTGTGATTTTTATCAATAATATATTTATATTTATATATATTATTTATATAAAACATAAAACACATAAAACAGCAATTAAGTAAATACAAAATAAACGATAATAACATTTACAGAACATCAGCCATCGTTCGATAATACACAAAGTCAAAATCTTTCATAATGACATCCAATCCCAATTTTAAATGAAATTAAATAATTCGTTTATAACATCCAATCTCATTTTCCAATGATCACACTTATGTTGTAAAATGCGTTAAATTACCGCTGTTACTGATATAATTGTTCAATATTGTTAAATATGATTTTTAATTTTTGAATGTCATTATTTTTGAGTTGTGTTGAATGAGTGTAATGATAATTTGATGTTATTTGCTTGCGCATAAACCTTTTTGGATTTTGATAAGTTGTGTTTTTCGGAGACGGTGTGTTGATTTTTGCTGATACGTTGAGCTGTAGCGATGCATCCTGTTGAGACATAGATAAGCTATGGTGTTTGTTTTAATATGGGTAATGGTGAGTTTAAATTATGAGCAGGTTGGTGAGTTTTGTCTGTGAGTTGTATTGTAGGTTATTTTGTTCTGTTAAAAGAGAGAAGATATATTAGATTTAGTGTTCATCTGATTTGATTTTTGAAGTAAGTTGTTTGTTATATTCAAAGGTTCGTATTTTAGCTCGATGACGTCAGGATGGCAGAATGATGGTTTATGTTGCGTTGTGTCAAGTGGGGTTGTACGGTGTCGTGTGGTGTCGTGGGGTGAAATGTGTTAAAGGGTTGTGTGGGCTTCAATCAGATACTGCTTCTACAAAAAATTTCAACACTGAAGACATCAGCATTAAGAACAGCAACAAAGAGAATCGAAATTTTTATTTTTTTCTCAGCAAAGATCAGTTGATGAAGCACTGAAGATGCAAACAGTTGTATACACCAAGTAGCACATTTTTAGATATTTCATTTTCCATCATTCGCTACTTAAGGCAAGAGTATTGTAGGTTATCAAAATAACGTGTCTTGCCGCAAGATTTAATTTGTATGTTAAAATTTTGTAAGCAACTTGGTCTGCAAGTTTTGAGATTGAATTTGATTTCACGAAACAGATTTTGTTGACATTAACATTGTTGGAGGTTTGTTATTTAATAAGCAGCTAGGACAGACGCAGAACTGTTTACATATTATTAATTTCTTTCAGCTTTCATTTCGCAAAGGCTGCACTGTCCACACATACGAATTACATACGAATAATTTATGCACTAAAAGTATTCGAACTAGGCTTTCGCCTTACTGCACGAGACATGATACTTTTACCGACTGAGCTAACTTGCCGTTAACTTGCCAACCAATTATTGTATCTGTCTATAAATATATATATATATATATATATATATATATATATATATATATATATATATATATATATATATATATATATATATTTGTTTTTATGTTTAATTTTATCAAAACTTGTACTTACATAAAATATTTTTTAAAATTCTGTGATGGAGACAGTTTCATTTGTTTAGAGAAACATGTAAATGTTGGTTTACAGATTTTGTTTTTTTACCTGCACTCAGCTTATTTCCTGTTACGTTATGTTTAGTCATGCCATGTCATGTCATGTTACATTACGCTACGTTATGCTATGGCATATTTCCACGTTTTTGTTATAAAATTATTTATATGAGACTTCAACCTCAGAGGTAACAATGGCTGAACATGAGGACATGCATATCAAAAAATGTAAAACTGTTTAGTTTGCTTGTTATCGCTATTCGCTATCTGTCACTTTACATATTTAAATGTTGAAAGACTTATACACTTTTCTAAAGTTCAGGATTAACAACACAAGCAAAAATTACCTTGAGGTAATTTGAACAAAATTTAGAAGATTAATTTAGCTCAAAGCTTCTTCGACACATATTGACTATTGATTTTGATTTTAATATGTTATTCGATTAATCATATATCTTCTTATTCAAAACACCTCTATTAGTAGTAAAAAAAATTCCGACAACTGGCACCTAACAAGTAATAAAAAATATTAAAAGCCAATTGAAGCATCAGCTTACACCGAAAACTATGTTGATGCAAATCTAGCATAGAAGTTACTACGAAATTAGAAGGTCATCGTATATAAGTGGTGTAAAATTATAAATTAAAATTTTCTTTTTGCGTTAGTGACCCATGAGATTATGTTAAATTTGATTAAATTTGTTTAATTTTATTTCTTGCTTATTTGTAGCTTAATTTATTTGTTTTTATGTATATAATAAAATTGTATAAAGGCTTGAAAAAGTATTCCGCATGCAAGATATAGGAAAAGCTAGTTTCGCTTCGAACAAATCATCTTCCAAATCTGCTTTAGTACGTCATGATCTGTGTGATATATACAATCTACTTCAAACTTGGGCAACTTTACCAGAGTCATATTGCCACACAGAAAAACACATTCTCTAGTATACAAAGGCTTAATAGTTTTTAAAGAATCAAAGTCAAAAATAAAATCAAAAAGACACCACAACGAAAATATGTTAAACGTCGCTCACTTTGATTTAAGTTTAGATGCCAGATATGTGCTCTTTGGAGAAAACATTTTTTGTTATAAATTAAATTGTTTGTTATTTATATTTTAATTTTTATAACAAAAATTAATAGTTTTAGTATATTTAAATTTGTATTTTATAGTATTTTTCCATTTATATTCTTTGCTCTTTGGAGAAAATATTTTTTGTTATAAATTAAGTTGTTTGTTATTTATATTTTAATTTTTATAATAAAAATTAATAGTTTTAGTATATTTAAATTTGTATTTTATAGTATTTTTCCATTTATATTCTTTTGTTGTCATATTTATGCGTTGTTCAGAGTTTGAACTTTGTAAAAAATAATTTTTTGAAGCTCCCCATCAAAAAAAAAAACAAAATCCTGGCTACACCTACCTTTTATTTAGATTTTTAAAAACCTTTTTTAATCATTGTCCAGTTTTATATAATTTAATATTTTGCCAGTCCTGTCATCCGTACGTTTCTTGGAAGGTCTTCTTATATCCTCATTAATACGAATTTAATCATTCTACTGACAGGCATTTTGTGAACCTGTCAAAGTCTCAAATTTTGTATGATCATTTTTTTGTTGGTGTACAGCTTAGAAAAAACACTGATCCGTGTGTGTATGTTTGTGTGTGTGTGGTGTGTGTGTGTAAGTTATTAAAGAGTTGTTGAGATGTTCGCTAATTATATTTTTTGTTTAGTGTTCCAAGGCATTTTGTTTACAGCGTTTTATTTGTGAAAATCTCTAAATTATGCATCTACATGATAAATATATAAAAAAATAGGATAGTTCAATGGTTAGACTTTGTTATATAATAATAAATAAGTTATAATAGTATATGATATTCTTGATTGTTAATTTGCTGAACATGATAAAAGTTATAGTGAAATCAAAATCATCTTTTGTAGTAAACGTTCAAGTTAACGCATCTATTTTAACAGAAAATAGCTATTATTAAGTGAGATTATCAAAACGTCAAAAGTTTATTTTGAATATTTTCTTGCAAATTTACGGATAGTATGCCGGTGCCATTCCAGTAGGTAAATGAAGAGTGAACGGATCACAGCAGCTGTTATGTTGCATGAAAGGTCCTGTGCCGATGATTTTACCGCATTGAGGGTTCCACTTCTTAATGTTATCAAAACTGTAACGCCTGTTATAAGAACTTCTATTTCTATAGTAATTATCATCGTCGGAATCAGATTGCGAGTCTGAAGAGCTGTCTTTACTTTGACGCTTTTCTTTAGCAGGTTTACGAGTTTTGACTTTGGATTTATTTCTGTCAACTCGAATGGAATCTTTTGCACCTTTTTCAAGATCATCCAATTCACGTTCTTTTTTATTCCAAAATTTTTTTTTCATTTCCTCAAATTTAGCTTCTTGTTCCTCTTCCCATTCGTTAAACGTTTTTTTTTGTTCTCTAATTTTTTTTTCATATTTCAAACGAGAATCTTCTAATTTATTTTTTGAATTATAGTTAATTTCACTATCACTAAAGTTGGAAAGTTCTTGTTTAGCTCTGGCAGAAATGCTTGGAAGCAAATTTGCAAAAAAACTTCTTGGTCTTGATTGATCCTGTCCGCGTCTTGAATTCATGTTTTTTTCTTCTTTTTTCAATTTCCTTTCTTGTTCTTTGCGTCTTCTTTTAGACTCTATTTCTTCAACTTTTTTTTCGGCCTTTTCCTCTTTAGCGATTTGAACGAGTCTTTCTTCAGCTTTATCAATTTTTTTTTGTGATTCCCGTCTTTGACAGCCACCGACCATTAAAAAGCACGTAGCTAAAATATCTAAGCCGACGCTCAACCATCCTAAAAAAAATGAAAATCCAAAAGAAATATCGGTGCCCTGGTACAAAGTCTGAAATAAAAATTGTTATAATTTGTTTCAACTGAATGTTATAATATAATAATTTCAAACTTTGTAGATGTCCTTTTTTATTGTCGCGTAAAATGGTGGGCATCTGAGTACTTCTTCTTCCATATAAGTATATCCGTGAAAAAATGCCATTCCAACAATAAGCAAGAAAGCTGAAATAGATAACGATTGTTTTTATTTGAATATAAGACAGTACCTTAATTTTTCGTGAAAAATATGACCAAATTTTATGAAGCGATCTTTCCAAACTTACTCGATATCAATGTCATGACTGCAGCTAACAACGACCCACACACTCTTATTTCACACTGAGACATCAAGGCAAATACAATTGCAAGAAAGAGCATCAAAATGGCAATTGCAAATGCTAACCACTGTGTTCTCATTAGGTCTGATATAGAATTAATGTTTTAAAATACAACAAAATGTTTATTTTAATTTGATAAATAATAATGAAAAATATTAAAATATTCAACTATAAGTCTTTTTAAGTTTACAAATATAAAATTTACGTACTGGCATTAATCATGACCATCAACTGAGAATTTTTGAAGTTAGCATCTTGACCGCAGTTGTCATCAATTTTCAATGGAGAAGATTGTAAGTTGTATTTTTGCTCCCACACGCACCAATCACCGGTAACCCAAGGTGACGCAATGACATTTTGAGGAAAAAATTGAAGTAGAGCTGTTTGTGACATTTTTAAAAAAATTTAATTTGTTTTATCTAAGTTTTTAAAAACAATTTATTTAGGAAAAAAATACAGCCAGGATGTGAAAGGTGACATGCTAACATAACTAAGCTAGAAAACATGCAAAATTGGTGCATCTTCTAGAAAAGAATTTTGGGGGAGATGAATACGTGTGCAATAGCAAAAATGACAAACTTGTTGTTACTTTGGGTTGGTGGCACAATAATGATGGCGACGAATGATTTTAATTTTTATGAAAAAAAATCAATAATGAATATTAATGCTGAATGAATTTACATTGATCGGAGTAGCATGTCGTGAAGAGCCCTCTCCTACGACTCGCGTAAAATGGACACGTACTAATAGACGGGTTGTTAGGATCGCAGATGTAAAGTACTGAGTTTTTATCAGCTTTATTCGGATTTACAGTGTAAATTCTCCAATCAGGCGTGCCGAAAGCAACAAGTGCACTGATTAAAGCCAGGATAAGAAAGCTGATCCCAAATCCCATAACACAGGCCTGACCATGTTTTATGTTATCAACCTCCATGGCCATAACAACCTTTTGGTTTTCTCTCTCGGAATCTCTATCCAGCTGTTTTTGTTTTTTTAAATCCATTGTGGCGACATAATCAGGAGGATTGATGTCACCAATTTCAACAATGACATTTTTAGAATTTCTGGTAGGGGTTTTTTCAAGTGTCGTTTGTGCAGTTTCCGGTTCGCTATTGCTAACATCAACCGTTGAAAAGTTTACCTGGCTAGTAAATTTTGGTGCTGAAAATCCATATAAGTTGGGGTAAGGTTTCAATGTGTTGTCGTACAGTATGACACCACTATCGGTCATTATTGAATTTAGAGTAAATTTGTTTTTAATTAAAAAAATATTTATTTACACGAAATGCTTGTTTTTTCAAGTTATGAAATACATAAAATTATTTTTCACATTATTACATTCAAAAAAACGAATCGAAAAATAACTGAAGTTTATTAAAATAAATGCTGAAAGCACTTTTGGCAAGGAAGGCTGGTACTTTTGTTTAGCTGCTGCTGCCGATGCAAGAGTCCTTTGTCTGGCTGTGCAACATGCTTGAGTACGAGGTGTTGACTGCCAGTCAGCTACATATGTACACATACACACTCTATAATAGGTAGGTTTTTTTCATTAAAATTAATTTCGAATATGATGGTTTATAAATAATTTATTAAGCTAAGATGGATATAGGAAATAATTAAATTTATTAAATTTAATTAACCACTATTTCTAAAAAAAGTATTATTATGAGCAAATTAACAAATTAATTGCATACAAATGTATGTATTTACATACATGTACACGTATATATATATATGAATGTATATATATATTTATATATACAGTTTGTGGATTAATATGTTGTACGCCGACCGTTAGAACAAGTCGTGATGAATAAGGCAGCTCTACTTCTCTACTTGTTTGCTTGGCTGGTGTCACGCTTGATCGAGCATGAATGAACAAATTAAACAGTAAATTAAATAGTAAACAAATGGAAGAAAATCATTTTTCAAATTAATCACAATCTTCCACTAATTTTGTTTTAACTTTTATTTATCTACTTTTATTATTTTTATTAAATTAGCGTGTGATCGGACTTTTTAACGAAATTATTTCGGATTTTAAAATCAAAGAGCGATAAGATAAATGAAAAACATAAAAATACCAAATACCAAACTACATAAACTTTAGAAAATAAATAGCGCCAAAATAGCTGACGTAAATTTTGTCAATGAATATAACGCTCCAAAAATTTTTGTCTTTATCCTATAAGGGTAATTTAATGTATAAATGTATCGTAAATTAACTCACCTTTTATGATATAAACATCCAATACATTATTAATTGAAATGAAATTTAATAAAATATTTTTCTATTTTGATATCGATTTATATTTTATATATTATACTATACTATACAATATTATATATGTTTGCTTAATTTTTATATTCATTATGATGTTTTTATCTTTGAATTTAGTTCTGCGAAAAACTTATAAATAAAAACACATAAAAACGCAAATAGCAGATTCAAAAGTTTAAATAATGAGGATTCCCCTCATCAACTTCAAACGCCTTCTAGCAGAATCCCAGTCCCATGCCCACAGTCAAGTGAAAAACAATTCAATTACAAATCAAATCAATCGTCCCAAAAGTATTTAATCACCAAAAAACAAAGATTAGAATCTGGCTAGGAGAAAGAGCAGGTTTAGTAACTTTGTAACTTCAAAAGAAACCAATGGGACAACAATTCATAATTTGAACACATCATAATATATTCGAAATATCAATTATCTTCAATTAATAACATAACAAAATTAAAAATTCATAAATAAGATATCAGTGTATGTATACCGGTAGCATACTAATTTAACAAAAATAAAACACTTTGTGAGTTTGGTCCGGCAACCTACAATAAAAGCCAATATAATATTAATTCACATGCTGAGTTTTTTTGATAAATTAAAAAAGTTTCACGACAGTCATAAATACACCATCTGAGGATATTATTATTCCGCAAGGCTACACAGTAGACATGTTGAAAAATTGAAGTTGTTAGAAATATTTAATCTGTAAGATGGTTTAGAAAAGATATAAATTTTCCTTAGTTGTATTTTATTAATATTATGTTTCCTGAAGATTGTTATAATTTTTGATGACAGTAATTGCTTATAGATTTCGTGCATGAGTTTTAATACTTGAGTTTTATAATTTTTTATTCAAAGATCACTAACATCACAACAAATTATTTAAATTCATTCATTTCATTTCATTTTCAAAGTTTATTCATAATCAACAACATATCAAATAAATAAATAAAAGTTCTGAAGTTGAATATGCGGAGACCGAATAAGACTGTATGTCTTGTGGTGGCCACAGCAGGTAGATATATGAATAGTTAATGAAATGAAGTAAGGAAAATAACTGATAATTGAAGATAAATAAATAAATGCTCGTGTTATACATATATAAACATATAAATGTTCGTTCAGTACATATATAAACATAAAAATGTTTAACTATTCATAAAGACCATTCATCCGCTTCATTTCTTCTCACGTATTCTTAATATAGTATTAGGTGATGGAGTCGAGATCCAGTGTCAATAAAAAAGCTCGGAATTTTGACTTGGAATGTTGTAGGTTTATGATGGCTCTTAGATGGGGAGGTACAAGTTCTGTCCAAATTTTATGACCAGCTATTTTTATGCTTGTCTGGTATTTTTATGTTTTATGCTTATTCGAGGCGGGTTTTGTAGATATAAAAGAGAGGGGTGTTTCTAGTGGTTGTAGATTGGATGGAGTTGCTTAATGTGTAGAAGTTGATAAAGTGAGTTGGGAGAAGATTGTTGACAAATTTAAAAACAAATCAAGCAGAGCAGTTAAAGTAAATGAAGTTAAGTGGTAAAATTTGTTTGCTAGGAAGAAGGGTTTAGTATGAGAATAGAGCTTGAGGTTTTTTGGGAAAACATTAAATTATTCAAATGTTTTTTGGACTATTCCCCCATAGTGTGATGCAGTAGGTTAGATAAGGGTAGATGAATGTATAATAAAGCGTGAGTAGAGCAGAAAGAGAGAGATTATATATGATTTTGTAAAAGATGCCAATGAGTTTGTTGATTTTGTCTGAGGTAGTTTGTAGGTGAGAATTCCATGAAAGATTTTTTGTGGTGGTGATTTCAAGAAATTTGGTTGACAGGGTGCGGTTTATAGGAAACATTAATTAATAGATTTATGTTAGGAGCTTGGTTGGTGAGTATTTTTGGACCAAAGATAATGTATGCACATTTCGAATAATTTATAATTAGTTTGTTATTGGATAACCCCAATTAGAATATTTTTGGAGTTCGAGATTGATATGGCAATCACGTAGGTTGTTGGAAGTGAAGAGAAGGGAAGAGAAGGTTGGTATCGTCTGCGGTTGAAGGAGAAACGTTGCAGAGGTCATTTATGTAGATAGAAAATAGGAGGGGTCCGAGTATGGATCCTTGTGGTGAATATATATATATATATATATATATATATATATATATATATATATATATATATATATATATATATTGGATTTAGACCATCTATCATAAATACAATTATTTATAAAGATCACTGCATTTTCGGCATTATTCAACTTGCAGTTGAATTTCTCAATTTTTTTAACAAGACTTTTATCATCTTGATGAAGTTTATTAAGGTTAAATAACAAAACTCTTAGTATTTGACATTTTTGACAAAACATTATTAATAACGTTTTTACTACAGAAAAGCTCTTTTCGCCATCAACTGCCATCATCAGTGTAGTTATATAGTATTGTTCCGTCCGTTGTGTCTTTGTTTTCACAGCGACTTTGATTGTAACTTAATTAGAATTATAGTTAATCATGTGTTTCACAAACAAAGACACAGAGGACGGAACAATACTATATAACTAAACTGATGATGGCAGTTATATATTTATATGCAAATTTTATTGAATATTTTTGCCCAGTTAACATTAATTAACTTTTTGAAAATACACTCAACTATATGGAATTGTTGTAAATCATCTTCAGAGCTTTATGTGAGATACAAATATTGCCATAAATGTAAATGGAAACTAAACAAAATAAAATAAAATGCAATACAATGGTACGTAAAATGTTACGTGTTGGGATTTAAATGGCCTGGCCTAGTTTTTACCATATTTAACAGCATTTGGAGATTTATAAAACTCATACGACACATATTGCTAGAAATTTTTTTAGATCAGCAAACCAATTGTATATAAAGCCCCTAATAACTGTTTTAAAAAGTTTTTGATAAAAATATTGACATTGAGTCAAACTCTATTTATAAGTCGAAAAATAGCCCAATAGTTGGTAGCTTTTTTCCACATTATTTAAATTTAAAATTTATTCATCTTAATGAAGTTTGATGTCTTGGCGGTACATATTTAACAATTCATTAACAATTTAGAAAGGTTCACGTCCATAAAAGTGCCACGTTTAGATTTAGCAACAGCCCTAAATTATCTTCTCGTTCAAGATAGTTCTTAGTCTGGCTCTCTGTTTATAGAAAAATTTTCGTTCAATTTCAATGTTATAAATTTTCGGATAAAAAATATAAGTATAAAAGTTGAAAAATTAAATTATTAAATAAAAATTAATAATGTTTTGTTAAAGAACTTTCAGAACTCCATAAGAATTAATACAATAAATAATTGGAAAGATGCATGAAAAAAATCACAATAGAATATTTAAAAGATTCCGAACCTCAGTCATAGTTAGGTAGTGCTGCTTGTCATCCTTTATGGGGTTCAGTTTTCCTTTCGGTAAGTATTCAAGAGGCCTGCTACGGACCAGGTACTCTGTTCTGACCGACATCACTCCCGTGGGCTGTACGTAGACAAGCTGGTCCAACTTTTTGTCCTGAAATTAAAATTTTGGCTTTAATTGAAAAAGAGCTAGTCAAATACAGAAACGATTTTTCTATATTTCTGTAATTTTATATGTATATAATGACCAAAAATGTAATCTTAGCATTTTAGTTGTTTGTATAGAAATTATAAGAATGCATTAAAATAAAATTTGCAAAAACGAGTTTGAAAAAAAAATAAAATATTAAATTGATGCGTACATTTGAATCATGACTAAACGTAAGCAGAACAATCCATATTAAAACGTGGGGATTTTAATACTACTGACCATAAATGTTAAAGTTATATTAGAACACATTCTTAAGTGAAAAATGTTTATAGTGTAGCGTAGCAAATCGTCCAAACCATAAATATTACCAAAATTGAAAAACAAATTAAATTGAATAAAAAAAAATCATTGAACGAACCACTTTATTGTTGAAATTCAACATGACCACGTGAATTCTCTGCCTTGCTTCCGCAGCTCTTAATTTTAAATAATTTATGTATTTTGTTTCTGTCTTATTGAACGTATATTAAATGACAATATGTTCGGTATTATATGAACTTAATTTTTTTTAATTTATAAACGAAGACGGCTGAACAGAAAACATTGATTTGCTAGATTGACAGGATGTTTAATTTACTGAAGAGGTGTCCAATAAGTTTGGATGGTTTGAGGTTGTATATGACTCTGATAAATCTTTTTTGACATTATTTGATAAAAGAGTTTTTGAGCTGCACGTTTTTTGATGTAAAATTTTCAAAATTTTTTGTATTCTATTAAGCTGTTATCAGTTGGGGTTTTGATTAATTTTTTGTTTAACTTTCTTTTGATTTTTGACAGATCCATAATTTCAGTAGTTATCTAAGATTTTTTAATTCCGCTCGATTGAACAGGTATCAAAGGTGCATATGTATCGAAAACTCAGTTGAAGACATTTAAAAACAGACTCAAAACACACTCGTCAACATCATTTTCGTTAAAGATTAACTCCCATTTTTCTTATGCTAATTCATTTTTAATTTTTGAAACAGATTACGTTGTGAGTTTTCTTCCTGAGCTACACACTGATGCTTTCATTGTGTTGACACTTTGCATGATGTTAGTTATTGTAAAGATTGGAAAATAATCGGACAGATCATGCCTGACAAGGCCGATGATATGATTATCGTAGACGTTGATGAAAACATTATCAGTCAAACTGACAGAGATCAGTGTTTGTCTTGTTTGTTTTGCTGTTATAAGTGGAACAAAATTGAAATCTTGAAAAATGTTTTCAAAGTTTATTTTAGTTGTATTGTTGCAATTTAAGTCGATATAAAAAATCGACATTAAAATCGTCCAGAATATAAGAAGGTTCGCCAAAATTCGATAACACTCCCTGAAATAATTGTAAAAAAAACTGTGCATATCTGAATTAGGGAGCCTATATAAAACAGCTATTTTTATCTTATTCTTGCTGCAAGAGAAACAACTAGATGTTTTGACGGATAAAACTTTCAAGGAGTTTGAATTAAAATTGCAATCTTCAATCTCGTATTCCAAATCACTTTTTAAAAACAAGCCGACCCCACCGCCAACTTCATCATCTCTATTTTTAAATACAAATTTATAATCATCTAGCACAATTAACTGGACTGTTTGCTTTTTCAGCTATATCTCTCTGACCACGATTGCCATAAATTTGAATGGAAACGTTTTTAAGAACAACATGAATTCATCTAATTTGTTAATTAAGCTCCTTGCATTAATATGCAACATTGAAAATGCATTTGCTAAATAGTTTACACAAATTTATTACTAATTTCATTAATTTTTCAAGATCGTAATAAAAGCATTCGTTTAGTGAACTATTTTCTAAATCCAACATGATGGCCATCGTTAATTGAAGTTTTTTAACATGATTTAATTTTGGATTGAAAATCCCTTTATGAATGACAGCGTGCTCGGGCCACAACTCCGGATCCATGATGGCAGACATTTGATCTTGAGGGACACAGAGCCTGAAACTAGTGCTGTCATCCATCGGATTTGTTTGGTCGGTTGTTAAATTTGTTTTTTTGTTATCGGTAAAACTGAAATAATTTTAAATCCAGAATTGGTGAGGTGATTGACATTTACGTCAGTTTTGGTGAAGTTCAAGTTGCCTAAATAAATTATAGATTTTTTTACAGCTGGTTGAACAGCTTTGAATTCGATATCCATGTTGATTAGTCTGTACAATTGTTGAAAATGTTGAACTGTTGAAATTTAGTCGTGTTTGGAACAGTTTGTTTCTTTTTTTATCATAAAAACAGCTTTGTAACCGGTATCACCGTCGTCGGTG